CACCAAGGTCAAGCACATTAGGAGATGACCCGGTACCAATCAGTGAGTGTCCAGGAAGGAACTCGTGTAATTGAAATGCATTCCAGTTAAGTGCCCAATTGATGACTGTCATTGTGCGCCTGTTAAGAGAGTAGACACGTGCGTGCAACCACCTTTAGTGTCAACACATTGCAGGAGGGTCAACAGCGAGCTCAGCGAACATGTTCCCTCGAACTTTGAACTTTGAAATACATGCTGTAGAATACCATTGTTATAATTTATTTGTGGTCACTAAGTCTGTTTTTGTGAGTGTGCGTGTGTGCGCGCGTGTGTGTGTGTGATTGCGTGCGTGCGTGCGTGTGTGTAAGGAGTGGGGTGGGATAGAATCGGGTCGTCATATAATTACATACAGTAGGGGCGGCAGGGTAATGCAGTGGTTAAAGCATTCGGCAACACGAATGTCTGGGTTCAACTCTCCAATGTGAGTAGCCCCTTTCTGGAGTCAAAACGTCCAGATGAAGCCATCTATTTTGCACAGGGTGATGTAGCAATATTGTAAGTGAGTTGTTAGTGACGCTTTGCATTATTGGCTAAATGATAAATCCCTTCACGAACTGTTTAACGCTACAATCAAACTTAGACCCCGACCCCATACTGTTTCCATGGGCACACAGCGCAATCATCCAGATGTACGTGAGTCGTAGTTGATGAGTTTCCCACAGTTGTCATTATGGGTGGATATTCCAAAGTGATTCTTTCAAGTAAGTGAGAAATGCCTTAGCAAGGAATGCATAATACATAAGTAACATGACAAACTTCCCAACGATCGCAATATCACGTTTATATGTAGTGATGTTGGCCACTCCATTAGGAAGGAACATGGACAGGGGTGAATAATTATAGTGTTTACGACACACCATTTTGACAAACAATAATTACACTAATGGTGTAATAAAACATCATGGATTATCGTGGACTATTTATTAGAATGCATTAATATCGATTGGCAGTGATTGCTCTACGTTTACATCCAACCCTTCTCATTTAGAGTTTAGCTGACACTTCAGACATGCTCCCTACATGCACCATCTAGACCCGCCCATCAGATCTCTTGCCTTGGTCAACTCTTCATCATGCCTAATTCATAGCAGCAGAGATCACTTGTGGTGTCTATCAACAGAAAACCCCGTCATATATGTCTGAAGAAAATTATCTCGTAATGTTCAAAGGTGATCCCTGTTTATATCAGTGGCTGAAGTGTTTATATCAACAAAGTTCTAACGTGTTTTCTGTGTGTCGTGTTTGTGGCCGCAATGATTCATTCTGTGTAAATTCACTGAAGTTTATTTGTCCATTTCTCGAATTTGTCTGTGAACGTCACAGGTGTTCTAATAGCATCGCAGATATAAAAGTTAATTCATACGGAGGCATGGATCTAAGAACGTGAGGAAACACTGGAGAATCTGATTAATAAAACGATTCATTCAACGTCGGGGCAAAAACCAATATATCTTATTTATTCATAGTTACTGTCTGGGAAATCTATTTCTGACAACAGCACATTAGTAATGCTTTTGAGATTTCACTGGAGTGTATCTGATTGGGGTGATCTATTCTGCCACAACTACCTCATAATCTTTCACTTCACATTGTGATTGTCCTCATGATATCGACCCTTATGCCTGTATTGAGATAACGCCAAGTTCTAATGAAGACTGAATATAAATACTCACAGTAAAAACATCGATGGTGATTACGGAATGCTGAGCTATCTTGAAAGTAGAAACATCAGGCAACACTAATTTACTTTCCTGGTGTATATTTGTCGGATATCCAAACAAATTACTCACATCATTTAGTTTACAAATGTAATATAGACCAAATGGTATTCGCACGTTAACATTCTTGAAAAAATAAACCTGATAAGTCCGAGCACCTTCTTAAATCGTGTGTCCTGTCAGGAGATGATTATCAGCAAGGATATCTGCATCCTGTGCTGAAGCATCTATATTTAGTCCAATCTGCATTTTATTCTATTCGACCCACTCGTCTTAATCGCCGAGATTCCTGTGCAGTGTCGCGTCCCTTTGACACGCTAGTGCCCAGTTATCGTAGGTTCCAGCCTCGATTCGCCCTGATCAATGTTCTAGATTTGTCGGCACTGTGTTTGAAGGATTGACAAAAGTGTTAACGGTCAGAGCACTGCATCTGTTTGAACTCCCACATCACACTGACACGCTGCTATGTATATGGAATACTGTTCAAAGCGGCATTAAACCAACCTCACACACTCCCTTAATGTTGTCCCCACCTAACTTCTAACAACACAAGAAGCCGTTATACGTAATCTGTCACGGCATGGCAGTCTGTTCCTGGATATCAACATTGGTGTCGAGACGTTGCTGGGGGTGTTGGGAACGTAGTGTGGAAATAAATTAAGAAGTTGTGATTGTTACATTATTGACAACAACCGACCGTGACGTGAGACGAGAAACACAGCGAGAGCTGTTCAATACCAGTTAGTTTTACGGTTTCCTACACACGTGTTCAGTTCTGGTGAATGGACTATCTGCGATAATGCAGTAATAGACGCTCAGGCACCACGGGAGTTCTTTCTTTGTCAGATAAAAAATTAAACAAGAAATGGAACAAATTAATATGACAGATTCAATTACCCATGACGAATAACTGTTAAAGAATCATTATGGACACGTGAGCAAGTGAAAGATACATGTCATAGTACACTATCAACGCGTTGGTCGTGATGTATCTACATCACGTGAGTACGGCGTTTTCCCACGTGTTTGTGATACATATATAATCTATATAAACGGCTATATAAGAGGTTGAATAATGGCAATAATGTAATATTGAGTAACATATTTCAGTAATAGTGAAAAGATTTATTGATCTTATACACTTTACGGACTGTCGCAGTACAACCTGATACATGTATATGAGGCTGTATTGAACTTATTTCTTGAATAACAACGAGGAACATGGGTTAACGGGGATACCCTGACCATAATGACTGTATCTGTATTTCAGGTTCAATATTGAGCACGTGTTTACCTTACGTAACTTAGACGAGAATATCACCACAGCTGAAGTACAGGCAATATATTTCTATCTATTTAAGATTGACCGTATGTGTGGAACACCAGCTCTTTCACCTCCCACTCCGTACCAATATGCCATCACAAACATTGTTGGTTAATCGTCCTCTTATCAACTTAAGCTCGTAATGCAAAATATCCCTTTCTCGTGGTGACAATAACCTTTGCACGTATCTTGGGACATGTATTTATATTTATTTCATATCATTCCCAACGCATATGATGCCGGCGATGACAAACGAACTATGTTTAACGAACTATGTCGAGGTAGTGTGGTTTATAGTGGAGTCTGTCACACATAATATGAAAATAAGGTTAGGTTTAGTGACTTTGAGGTTCCTCTTTACTTGCGACCATCTCGTTAACTCGAGGCTTCAGTTCAATATATAGATAGAAGCGTTAAGCTTGAACTAGTGCACAACGGAACCTCGATAGTCAAGACACCTCCCTAGTCCGTGGAACCTCGTTAGTCAGGACACCTCCCTAGTCAGTGGAACCTGGTTAGTCAGGAAACTCCCTTGTTAGTAAACCTCGTTGTTCAGGACACCCCCTAGTCTCTGGACCTCGTTAGTCAGGACACCTCCCTTGTTAGTAAACCTCGTTGGTCAGGACACCCCTTAGTCGTTGGACCTCGTTAGTCAGGACACCTCCTTAGTCAGTGGAACCTGGTTAGTCAGGACACCTCCCTTGTTAGTAAACCTTGTTGGTCAGGACACCTCCCTAGTCAGTGGAACCACGCTAGTCAGGACACCTCCCTAGTCAGTGGAACCTGGTTAGTCAGGAAACTCCCTTGTTAGTAAACCTCGTTGTTCAGGACACCCCCTAGTCTCTGGACCTCGTTAGTCAGGACACCTCCCTTGTTAGTAAACCTCGTTGGTCAGGACACCCCTTAGTCGTTGGACCTCGTTAGTCAGGACACCTCCCTAGTCAGTGGAACCTGGTTAGTCAGGACACCTCCCTTGTTAGTAAACCTTGTTGGTCAGGACACCTCCCTAGTCAGTGGAACCACGCTAGTCAGGACACCTCCCTAGTCAGTGGAACCTGGTTAGTCAGGACACCTCCCTTGTTAGTACACCTTGTTGGTCAGGACACCTCCCTTGTTAGTAAACCTCGTTAGTCAGGACACCTCCCATGTAAGTGGAGTGAGTGAGTTTAGTCTAACGCCGCTTTTAGCAATATTCCAGCAATATCATGACTGGGAACTCCAGAAATGGGCTTCACACATTATGCCCATGTGGGGCATCGAACCCGGAACTTCGGCGTCACGAGCGAACGCCTGAACCACTAGGCTACCCCACCGCCTCCCTTGTTAGTGGAACTTTGTTAGTTAGTACACTTCCCTTGTTAGTAAACCTCGTTAGTCAGGACACCTCGTTGTTAATGGAACCTCGTTAGTCAGGACACCTCCCTTGTCAGTGGAACCTCGTTAGTCAGGACACCTCCCTTGTTAATGGAACCTGGTTAGTCAGGACACCCCCCTAGTCAGTGTAACCACGTTAGTCAGGACACCTCCCTTGTTAGCGGACCTCGTTAGTCAGGACACCTAACATTTTAGTGGAACCTCGTTAGTCAGGACACCTCCCTTGTTAATGGAACCTGGTTAGTCAGGACACCTCCCTAGTCAGTGTAACCTTGTCAGTCAGGACACCTCCCTTGTCAGTGGAACCTTGTCAGTCAGGACACCTCCCTTGTCCTGAAACCCGACTATAGGACGACTACTGGAAGCACAGTGTAGAACTAACGGGACATTCCTTTGTATCCCACAGTATTCAGTTTTAATCTTAATCTTGACGACTCACCAAAGTCGATTTCGCCCAGATTAACGAGGTTTCTCTCAACAACTATCAGACACAGATGACTGACCAGGACATGTGTTGCAAGCAAGGTCGGAATAACTGCACTTACCTCTGGGTTGTCGTTGTCGATAGTTGCACAAATAAATTCCAGTGAAAACAGCCTCGTGTGTAGAAGATGTCTATATATCCACACGTAAATGATATGTATACAAGGGGCGTGTCAGTGTCGATCTCCAGGTACGCTGTGAGGAGAAACAAGAGAAGCAATGATGTAGAGTTGGGAGACAAGTTTACTCAGGCTGGCAATGAGCATGCGCTGATCCTCTGATAGCCAAGCACATGTCGGAGTCCCTACATCGATCTGTCCATGGTGTCAGTCCACGATATGGTTGTATGCTGGCTAGCTTATAACTGAGGATGTTGTTCTTACCTACAGAATATCGGGTACAGAGCAATGGAATATACAATTTCGAGGAATGAGAGTTGATATAAGGATTCCGAGTGAAAAAGCATAAGATCCATCGTGATAAATATAAAATGATTTAAGTTAAATTTACGTGCCAATTATATGTTTAAAAGTTTGTAAAACTTTAATTTGTAATTCCGTATCATAACACTTTTACAATTGAAAGGGGTCAAGAAAGTGTACGGTTATGTGCGGCTGATCATGGCGATTAGTAGCCTAGTATTTTAAAGTACCATGTCACACATCTTCGACTGACTGACTGACTGACTGAGTTTTGGTTTTACGCCGCTTTTAGCAATATTCCAGCAACATCACGGCAGGGGACACCAGAAATGAGCTTCACGCATTGTGCCCATGTGGGGATTCGAACCCGGGTCTTCGGCGTGACGAGCCAACGCTTTAACCATCAGGCTACCCCACCGCCCCCACATCTTCGACAATAGTTGGGCATATATTATATATATTGGGGCATATGCACTCACTTTAGCTTCCCATTGATGCAATAAAAGACTTATTATCCCTTACCACTTGCCTGAAATCGATAATTGAAACTTCGAGGCGAACAGCTTCAAAACTTGCCGTATATGAAATGTAACAATTGCTCCGTACATCGAAAACTGTCGCACGCGGTGTTGTCGGTGTTTGCCAAACTGGTTTCAATCAGAAGTTGTGCGTGGGATATTCGTAAATAGCGCTCCAAGGGACATAACTCTATGGGGTTCCCTTAAGTAAAGTTCGGCCGGTAGAGGGCGCGAGAGTGGATTTAATGCAACGATGCATTAATTCATTCGATAATTTTAATTTGATATTGTAATCTAAATACGTATTTCGGGGGGAATAAATTATATGGTAGCTTCCCTGAGCGCTGATAGTTGGTATTATTGAGAGAAATACACTATGTATTTTTAGAGAAGTGTGGTGTGATATAGTGCCATTAATGCGTTCGCTCGGCACGCCGAAGAACCGGCTTCGATTCACCGCAAAACATACAATGTGTGAAGCCCATTTCTGGTGTCCCCCGCCGTGATATTTCTGGAATATTGCTAGAACCGGCCCTAAAACTAAACTCACTCACTCAAGCCGATCACCCGATGTCGTCCTGTTATTCACCGTCGTCAGGGTACTACTGCCAGGCGTCCGGCAACAAAGACATTTTGATGACAATTTTAGGAATGGCAGGTGCTACCGGAGGAGCAGGACACGTTTACCCTTTCCGCGAACACTTGGTCCTATCACTGGTTTTCAGTGATCCAATTATATATGTTTCACTCCTTATTGTCTTAAAACGTTAGTACGGCAGTGGAGCAGCCTAGTGGTTAATGCGTTCGCTCGTCACGCCGAAGACCCACACGGGTACAATGTGTGAAGCCCATTTCTGGTGTCCCCCGGCGTGTTATTGCTGGAATATTGCTTAAAACTCTGTAAAACCAAATTCACTCAGTTACAACGTTAGCGTTAACGTTCTATTATTTTCCTGCTGTATGAAGGGATTTGCGTGGTTTCAACCACAAGGTTTGGAAAGTGTGAAACTCATATGAGAGTACAAGGAAACGTTCAGGTTTCAGGAAGGTCTCCGAAGGCAAAGCTTCTCCATATTTCCCCAGTAAAGACAACTCGGATCTGAGTGTGTGAGACAATAGGCACTATGATAGAATTCCATTTTCGGTCCAGGCACTTTGATCAGACAGACTACAGTTTGCAATTACTCACAGAAACAAAAACGCAGCAGCAACCTGCCGCCATAGCTGGAGTGCGTCAGAAATCATTACATCCCACCGCTTATTTCAACTGTGAAACCTTTTGTATTGTACATGTATACCTCCTACAGCCTGGTACCTGATCGAAGCATTTTGCTGCCAGCCATATCTATTTTTATGACATTACTTCAAGTCTAACATCACATATATCCAATGTGGAAAAGAATTAAAAAGAAAATCTCGATAGCCACCTCAATAAAAGAATGTTACATGAGGTACCTCAGTTCAGACAAGTCCATCCTTGTGTTTTTGTTGAAACAGAACAACGATGGGGAACGCTCAGTAGGCCAAGAAAACTACGCTAAAATAACCTTTCGAGGGACGTCTGTCTACAGGCCGTTGAAAATCTTACCACTTCAAAGTCATCCTCTAATAATGATTTGACTACTATTAGCTACAAAGAGCTTATACATATTGTTTAATGAATGAATGAATTTTCATTGAAGGTGAATTCAACTTTCAATATCAGTTGCAAGTATTCTAATCACAATTTAGCAAATACGCCAAACGTCATGTCCATAAGAGAAACTCAACGTAGTAAAAAATACTCATTGAAAGTTGTCACTTACGGAAACACTAAATGTTTTGTCGGAGTTTGGACGCCAACAATTTGTATGTGATTGAAGAGAGTATTCGTCAAGTCAACTTAATATCGCAATGAAAAGTGCGTTTGACATGCAGAGGGAAAAGACCATAATCTTTCACTTCACATTGTGATTGTCCTCATGATATCGACCCTTATGCTTGTATTGAGGTAACGCTAAGTTCTAATGAAGTCTGAATATAAATACTCACAGTAAAACAAAGATATTGATTACGGAATGCTGAGCTATCTTGAAAGTAAAACATCAGGCAACACTAATTTACTTTCGTGGTGTATATTTGTCAGATATCCAAACAAATTACTCACATCATTCAGTTTACAAATGTAATATAGACCAAATGGTATTCGCACGTTAACATTCTTGGAAGAATCAACCTGATAAGTCAGTGTTAGACGAAAGTTACACTTTCTCAAAAGATATTGATGCAGTTGTTCTTAACTCTGTATGTACCTTCTTTAAGGTTGGGCTAAGATAAGGTCAACATTCAACGAGATATTCGCCAAACAAATATGGCAAGATGACAAGTGTCAACCAAGCCTGTCCAACCCGATCCCGTTAGTCGCCTTTTACGACAAGCATGGGTTACTGAAGACCAATTCTAACCTGGATCTTCACGCATTGAGGATTTTGTAAAAGAATGAATATGAAACGATTACGGTAGTGTTCACAATACGAAAACTGCTACTTGATCATTACAATTAATTTTACATATGAAACAAATATCACAATTTTGTGAAAATATATATTGGCTTCTCGAAAATAACCTGCAGTTTGACCGGTGCCCCTAAAATGCCACACATGAAAATAATTCAAACTTCAGTCATTAAAATTTAAATATTAACCTGAGTTGAAATGTAATAGGGTAGTAATTCATCAGGGGTATATATCAATAAGAAGTAACAAATACAGTGACAACGAGATATTCCCCAAACAAATAAACAAACCCTTTTCAAGCAAGCCCCATCTACCGGAAGTACCAGTTATTATTTAAGGTCAAGGTCACTTACAGGTGGGGTCTTAAACAGCATCCGTGATTCGAAACCAGCGACACATTAGATAGAGTCTTTAAAGTGACTAAGAGCACGAGTGAATGGAAAGTATAGATTAAACCATTAATTTTTCCGCTTCTTTGAGGCCGCTTCCGTGGTGTAGTGGTTAGAGCGTCCGCCCGGAGAGCGGAAGGTCGCGGGTTCGATCCCCGACCGCGTCATACCAAAAGACGTTAAAATATGGTTCTTGTTGGTCCCTGTCTGGCGCTCGGCATTAATGGGTACAACAAGGACTGGTCAGTATAATGTGTCTGAGTGGGGTATTCATGCTTCACTGCGGCGTGGTATCTCAGTGAGCTAGCACTATAACACCAGCTTAAGTCTGGGCTAGTACAAGCAGCCGCACATACACATACACACGCATGCACGTCGTCATATGAGCGAAATATTCTCAAGCACGACGTAAAACCAAATTTTACCTTCACCTTCACACCGCTTCTTTGATTTGATTTTTCATAGTTTTATGTTCCTTTCTTGAATGAGGAAACTGTTGAAATACTACCTCAGAAATGTTGTCCCTTATCGCCACCGTGGTATGATCGACATATAACTAGGTGAGTGTGTTATATACCACGTCTCTAACGCTCTATGCCCAGGTTTACCCCGTCAAAGAGACTTCATTTTAGGACACGTAATTCACCTGAATATAACATTCACCAACCGTCATCATGGGATAATCCGATATAACCCGATACTGATAAAACATCATCGAGTGTCTAAAACATAAGGGAAATACTGAGAACTGTCTGATCCCATCACAACCCAGTCTCGTCACATCAGTCAGACTTACGTGTATTTCATACAGGTATGTCATCCACGTTGTCACCAACACAGACCATGCATACGCTGTGACTACGGTCGGTGGACATTTAATATTTCACTTGCCATCTGGCGCGAAAGAATTCTAAGACGCCATATGTTTCCCTTTTGCGGGAATATGTCTAGCCTGGTGAATTATGTCAAACAAAAACCCTGAATCATGATTTTTATTTGTCGGAAGAAATATTTGATGTCATAAATTAAGCGTGAGGAGACAAACTGTCCGCATCTCACTTGATCAGTCACTATTGAACTGTCGCTTCACGCGTCTGTGTACATCCTCGTTGTCTGTGCCTCGTAATGTCAAACTACTCAATCACACCAGGCAATTCAACTGAGTGAGTATTGTATGGTACCGATCTCTCCAGAAAAACTGTTATAATCTTAATCTATGGACTCTCGCTTGTATGTTTACCCATAGCGTTCCTATCTTTGTTTATATATGTTACATATTCTCGTTATGATATCCAGCTAAATGTGAACTTTCCTCCAATTTGAGGGTGGTTGACTGCCTAGCGGATGAAGCGTTCGCTCCTTATGCCTTAGACTGGAGTTTGAATCGCTGCATTTAGCGGTATTCCAGCAATACCATGGCAGGGGACACAACAAATGGGTTTCACACACTGTACCCATGTGGGGTATTCAAGCAATACCATGGCATGGGACACAACAAATGGTTTTCACACTGTACCCATGTGGGGTATTCAAGCAATACCATGGCAGGGGACACAACAAATGGGTTCACACACTGTACCCATGTGGGGTATTCCAGCGATACCATGGGGACACAACAAATGGGTTTCACACACTGTACCCATGTGGGGTATTCCAGCGATACCATGGCAGGGGACACAACAAATGGGTTTCACACACTGTACCCATGTGGGGTATTCAAGCAATACCATGGCAGGGGACACAACAAATGGGTTTCACACACTGTACCCATGTGGGGTATTCCAGCGATACCATGGCAGGGGACACAACAAATGGGTTTCACACACTGTACCCATGTGGGGTATTCCAGCGATACCATGGCAGGGGACACAACAAATGGGTTCACACACTGTCCCCATGTGGGGTATTCCAGCGATACCATGGCAGGAGACACAACAAATAGGTTCACACACTGTACCCATGTGGGGTATTCAAGCAATACCATGGCAGGGGACACAACAAATGGGTTTCACACACTGTACCCATGTGGGGTATTCCAGCGATACCATGGCAGGGGACACACCAAATGGGTTTCACACACTGTACCCATGTGGGGAATCGAACCCCACCCCGGGATGCACAAAATATCAAACAACCATATGTGGTATGTAAGTAAAATGGTGAATTATGCTAACTGGGAGCAGGGATTTCTTTGTTTTACTCTAAAACACACAGTCAACAAATACACAGCAGAATACTAACTTTAAAATATTGAGCGGTGCATGTTACACTCACTCCCAGTGTCCCAAACTGGAACAAAACTTAGCCATTTGGAGTGCAATAGGGTTTAACGTCTCTTTCAAGATCTATGCGTCTAAGTAGCTAGGTATGGCGGTGTGTGGCAACCTGGCTTAGTCCGGACTGTGTTATAGCGCCAGTCAATTGCTATACCATGCCACTGTTTAACATGGCTATACCTCACAGTACACTCAGTGGACTTCAGTCCCTGTTATTCCCCTTTAAGGCCACTGTCCACACTGGGTTACAATAGGTATCAATTAGGATGGGACAGCAGGGGATCCAAACAGCGACTTTCCGTTTTCCGGGCAGACACTCTACCAACTTGGCCACATAAGTGGTCTCCTCTCAGACAATAACTAACTGCTTGACAAGTGATGATTATGCCGCGACACACGATGACCTCCTTAACACTGGCGTGTGGCGGTACAGTACAAACCAGGCCGACTCATGGACACAGTGACCTCGCCATTTACTGCACCGCTCAGGCTATACTATGATATCAGCATCCTTAACAGGATGTATAAAAGTGATTGGGGCGTGACGGGCCACCATTTAACGATATGGCGTTTAGTAACAGGTAGACATGCCCAGATATTATCTCCGTAACCCTGGCAAATAATAGTGTTCTTACGATGTTGCATGCACCCGTTTTTGGTAATATTCAATTAACAACCCTTCCCACCCCAAATATCACCACCACTGTAAATATCCCCCCCACGCCAGCCCTACCCGACAGCGGAATGGTTACAATGACAAGCATGTTATCTCACCCTCTCTCCACGTGTCGGTTGTGTTAACTGACATATGGTGATAATGAACGTTTTGAAATAGACCAACACCACGTGTGTTGCATGTATATTTCACTGCTAACACCAATTTTCGACAAAATATGCGTGTTTCGTTAACTTACCGTCAGCTTGTCACAGGCTCTACATCATGTCGGCCTCCTTCTATTGTTAAAACCACATGCCACTGGGCGGGTGTGCGAGGTATATGTTACCCCAGTCACGAGACTCGACAGCAGCAAACTGTTGGTGTTTTCTTGATTTTTAAAGTTGACAAAGCTTGACCTAGTTTCAACTATATAAGCCAGTGCACTCTGGCGATTCAGCATAAACGTGAAACCTGAGTGCATCTGTATGATATGCTGCAGTTAGCGATCCGGCCTCACAACAGGAAGCGAGTGAGGGAGTGAGTGAGTTTAGTTTTACGCCCCTCTTAGCAATATTCCAACAATATCACGGCGGGGGACACCAGAAATGGGCTTCACACATTGTACCCTTGTGGGAATCGAACCTTGGTCTTCGGCGTGACGAGCAAACGCTTCAACCACTAGGCTACTCCATCAGGAAGAGAATCGAACCCAGGTCTTTGCTGACGGGCGTACACTGACCTCTACCTAGATGTTAGATAAACTCTAGGGAAGGTGTTTATTCAAATTAATTGCTTAACAATTTTCATATGCGTTGATAAATATCAGTGTATAATTTAAACAGGATATTAATATATTGGTATAATACAATTATTATAATTGTGCTATGAATGTCAATAAACATTGATAACAGAAAACAGAACACTTCACAATGACCTCCTGATCTATCATCCGTCAAGTGACCACTGACCACATCTCGACGTGTATTGAAATCAGTCATGACAGCTGGCCAGATCTGGTCGATGGCCAATATCTACTTTGCGCTCCACCAGACATACGCACTTAAAAAAGGAGACAAAACCCTTTGAATATTTATAGGATATCTCTGCTAACAACAGAGTCGATTGTACTTTTCTGGATGAGCGTGTGTTGTTTATGACGCTTTCAAATATTAATGATACCAAAGGTCGCGAAGGTCGTGGACAACCGGGAAAATAAACTGTTAGAGAACTGCATCGGACATCTGTATTGTGTTTGTTATCCATGTCCAATATTGAAATGTCCTCTATTCTATGAAACTACAATTTAAGCTTTGATGTTGCCTTGGCGTTGTAATCATTATGAACAACGTTTGAGAAAGAGTCATATGGCGTTAGACTAGATCTTTGTAGAAAGAACTTGGCCACCAAACCCTGTGGCGGGCACAAATATGGAAGTCTGACAACTGGTCTGGTCAGAGGTACACAAAGCATATGGTCAAGATACATGTAGGATTTCCGTTTTTGTGGAAGCCACGGTGGCAAAGTCGGTTGGTTACATCGCAGATTTTGTGTGCTGGCGTTTAGATGCCTGACTCGGAGAGCGTGGGTTCGAATCCCGGATGGGACTCAACCTCCAAAAGTACTAATATTTTTTACGTAATCTCGTTTATCTTTCAATTTTCTGAATGGGTTTTTGTATTCATACTTATAACCTCTTTAAAACGATTGGCAGATATCTCCATCCACGTTTCCTGGAAGATGTCACATCTGAACTCACATAGCCACCCGGTGTTCTGACACGTCCCTGCATCCAGTACCTCCAGGCCATGACCTGCCGACGTGACACACGAGGGAATTCCCTGGAGTCGGTGCCTACATATTCCCAGACTGTCAGGCTGTAAACTTGATATGTCAATGTGAGCCCCGCTCGAGCCCTGAGTTTCTCGGTTACAATTATCAGACACCAAGGACTCTATGCCGCCAAACGCTGCGTGCATCGTCACGTCACAAACATATGTAACTTCTCTTAGAAGCATTCAGTAGCTTGATCAATAGGATGGCAATACCTGGATGAACAACGTCTTTATTACAGTGAGAGGTAGTTTCGGTACAGATACTAACACCGTTGACCCGTGAAGATCCGGGGTAGAACAGGTCTTCAGCAACCCATGCTTGCCACAAAAGGCGACTATGCTTGTCGTAAGAGGCGACTAACGGGATCGGGTGGTCAGGCTCGCTGACTTGGTTGACACATGTAATCGGTTACCAATTGTGTATATTGATGCTCATGCCGTTGATCACTGGATTGTCTGGTCCAGACTAGATTATTAACAGACCGCCGCCATTTAGCTGGAATATTGCTGAGTGTGGCGTAAAATTAAACTCACTCACTCACTCATTAACACCGTTATCATGCCAGTGATTAACAGAATGCATATATGCAATCGTGAGGAGATGTTTGTACAGTACAATTGGTGATTAGGATTGCAAAGTGTAATCTCGTTTATCTTACTACTTTCTGAATGGGTTTTTGTATTCATACTTATAACCTCTTTAAAACGATTGGCAGATATCTCCATCCACGTTTCCTGGAAGGTGTCACATCTGAACTCACATAACCACCCGGTGTTCTGACACGTCCCTGCATCCAGTACCTCCAGGCCATGACCTGCCGACGTGACACACGAGGGAATTCCTGGAGTCGGTGCCTACATATTCCCAGACTGTCAGGCTGTAAACTTGATATGTCAATGTGAGCCCCGCTCGAGCCCTGAGTTTCTCGGTTACAATTATCAGACACCAAGGACTCTATGCCGCCAAACGCTGCGTGCATCGTCACAATCACAGAATAGGAAACATGGCATTCATCACGAGTAAAACATTTCACTGTGAATGGAGCTATGGGAAATATAGGATTGTTGTAATGTGGATCAAGTGAGGAATTTGATCAAACGCTTTTGGTAGTATTTACGCGAGGAAGATCAGCAACGGTCTCGACACATTGTGAGAGAGTGAGTGAGTGAGTTTAGTTTTACGTCGCTTTTAGCAATATTCCAGCAATATCACCGTGCAGGACACCAGAAATTGGTTTCACACATTTTACCCATGCGGTGAATCGAACCCGGGTCTTCGGCGTGACGAGCCAAAGTTTTAATCACTTGGTTGCCACCGCCCACCCGCGAGGAGACTTGAACCTGATCTTTGTCTGGACACTTTAACCACTGGGCTATCCCACCGCCAACAAATCTTGATGAAGGACATTTCATCGTACAGTACTAGTGATGCAAACACACGTGCTTCTCTATAGGTGTTCATTAACCAGTAGAAGTAGTTTGCACTCATTTTTTGTAAAAGTCTCTCTCTCTCTCTCTCTCTCTCTCTCCCCTCTCTCTCTCTCGCTCTCTCCCTCTCTCTCTCTCTCTCTCTCTCTCTCTCTCTCTCTCTCTCTCTCTCTCCTCTCTCTCTCTCTCTCTCTCTCTCCCTCTCTTCTCTCTCTCTCTCTCTCGCTCTCTCTCTCTCGCTCTCTCTCTCTCTCTCTCTCTCTCTCTCTATCTCTCTCTCTTTCAGTCCATCTGTCCATCCAACTGAACACCTCCTTGACCACTTCAGTCCATCAGTCCATCCAACTGGCCGATGTCCTGCTACAGTCCATCCAACTGACCACATTTTTTTAGGACTTCAGACCATCCAACTGACCCCTCTATCGCCACAGTCCATCCAACTGACCCCCTTCATACTGTTCATCTCAGATCTGCGTCCTTCACGGCACATGATTCCTGCTAACAGTCCAGCTGACTGACCACACCTAGGTGGAGCGGAGTAGGTACAACATATGTAACTTCTCTGAGAAGCATTCAGTAGCTGGATCAATAGGATGGCAATACCTGGATGAACAACGTCTTTATTACAGTGAGAGGTAGTTTCGGTACAGATACTAACACCGTTGACCCGTGAAGATCCGGGGTAGAACAGGTCTTCAGCAACCCATGCTTGCCACAAAAGGCGACTATGCTTGTCGTAAGAGGCGACTAACGGGATCGGGTGGTCAGGCTCGCTGACTTGGTTGACACATGTAATCGGTTACCAATTGTGTATATTGATGCTCATGCTGTTGATCACTGGATTGTCTGGTCCAGACTAGATTATTAACAGACCGCCGCCATTTAGCTGGAATATTGCTCACTACCCTAATATTTTGTTCTAGGTTTTTTCTCCACGTTTACACTTGGTTGGAAAAATACCCATGAAGGCCCGGGTTAGAATATTGAACTTCAATAACCCATGCTTGTCGTAAGAGGCCACAAACGGGATCGGGTGGTCAGTTTCTCTGACTTGGTTGACACATGTAATCGGTTCCCAACTGCCCAGATCGATGCTCATGCTGTTGATCACTGGATTGTCTGGTCCAGACTAGATTATTAACAGACCGCCGCCATTTAGCTGGAATATTGCTGAGTGTGGCGTAAAATTAAACTAACTCACTCACTCATTAACACCGTTATTATGCCAGTGATTAACAGAATGAGGATAGAGAAGCATATATGCAATCGTGAGGAGATGTTTGTACGGTACAATTGGTGATTAGGATTGCAATGGCAGACAGCATATGTATATTATTCATATACTTTTCATCATATTGTATACTTCCATTAGCTAAATTATCCATTATAACATCTAATTCCCTTTAAACTGTTGATATTTGTATTTATGTTATACAATAAGAAATCCTAGGCGCGTTTGGGTAGAGTGAAGTATTACAGTGATCTTGACAATCCTCGTCATCAACAGTCACGTCATCATTTTCATAACACTAGATATGTGTTTGAGTGGCAATGTTTATCCTTACAGTCAGACATATTTGATGAAACCTGACATGATGTATACGGCATTATTGGCGATAATGTGATAGTAATTGCCATAACAATTTCAAATGTTGCGATTTTTGCATTTGCTACAGGCTCTGAAATGGTGTTACGTAAACTTTGAAAAGTACTGAAATATAATGAGGTGATTTGTTTGTGTTGGAATTTGTCCACAATCACATGAACGGCAAAACCACTCTATTCCAAGGTTGAAGGCTGGAGGGGCGCTAGGGTAACCTAATGGTTAAAGCGTCCGACCAGTGTTCGATTCCCCACATGTGGACAATGTCTCCCCGCCGTGATATTGCTGGAATATTACTAAAAGCGACATAAAACCATTACCACTCACTTACTGGAGGCAGGAGCTCAGACCCTAACTGACACATAAACTTATTTTTATAACACTGTAGGCGGTTGTCACTGTAGGCGTTATCAGGCTCCACCAAGTTCATGCGTCCTACTATTCGCCGTCTACAGTAACCGAATACATAAACAAGCATCTCAAGTGTTGCGTTCTCGCCATAAAAAAACATTATCCTGTTCTGCTCGGGCGTTGAGTTATTCCGCCCTGCTACACCCATTCATCAACTCAGCAGTAGCTGCACATGGCCCACTGCAAACGAACGACGGCGATGTTGAACGCATGTGTTCGTTAAGAGA